TTTTTTAAATATATTTTATTGATTTTTTACAGAGAGGAAGGGAGAGAGATAGAGAGTTAGAAACATCGATGAGAGAGAAACATCAATCAGCTGCCTCCTGCACATCTCCCACTGGGGATGTGCCCACAACCCAGGCACATGCCCTTGGCCGGAATCGAACCCGGGACCCCTCAGTCCGCAGGCCGACGCTCTACCCACTGAGCCAAACCGGTTTCAGCGAAAATGGACCTTTTTAAACATAGTTGCCCAAAAGGGAAAATTTTCCCCCCCAAAAAATAGGGATATTATTGCCTCCTCAGGGTATTTAAAATAAGTCCAGATACTGTACTTCTACACGAAAGTTATCTTTCTCTACAAACTGCCCTTCCCTCTACCTCGCTCCCCTCATATGCTCAAGCTCTCAGCTTCAGGGCACACATTCATTTCACCGTAACCCACCTGCTGCCAGCTTTTTCTTCCTGGCTTCTGCGAGGTCACTCTGGTACGTTTCACAACACTCAGGGATGACTCCGTACAGGCTGACATCCGGGGAACGAAGGGCACTCAGCGTTTTACCGACATCGCCACTCTGCACGGCCTCGTTAATGGCAAAGATTCCTACGGCAACTATCGCGGAAGAGAACTGTTACCGGAAGAGTTTAGGAGGCACCTCCGTTCATACACTGGTTCACCGGGCTATGCCTCCTGGCAAGCTGTTCCCCCCACATGTGATCTGCCTAACATGACACGGAGCACCTCGCCACCCCGCCCTCCCCCGAGAGAAATAAACCAGCGATACGTACACCTCTGTGCTTCCTGGGTGTCTTTGTTGGACTGCCAGATTCCACCTTGAATTTCATCCAACCATAACACAGCGGACTCATCCTGGGTTTCCTGCGCCCCGTGAAAAGCAACATAATATTAAGAGCCATGAAATCAGGGCCGTGCTTTATCAGAGCTGTTTTTAATGACATTATCCTAGAATGTTTTCTTTCCAGATGATGTGGGAGAAGCTTAAAAAAAAAAAATGGTGCCAGGTACCACAACAGTAACAGAACTTTGCTGTTTTCTGGAGATTCGTTTTTTACTTTTTTTTTTTATTGGAGTGTGCTGGATGTCTATAATTTTGTTCAGATGACTGCAGAACCTGGAAAAGCTGTTGCTGCTATTGATGCATAACATACTGCTATTGGTCTTTTTATATAAATAAATATATATATACATACATATATATATAATTTGAATTTTTGGAAACTTTAGCTGTGCTGTCAACTTTGGAAAAACTATCCCAGCTGTACTGTGTTGGGTTGGCATTGTACAGAAATTAACAGCCATATTGGTCTGGAAACGGTCAACATAATGTTTTTCCATTTGTACAGGGGTAACGCACTGTATTAAATATGTAAGGTCTTAATCTACATGGGTTTGATTACAGAAACTAATAAAGTATTCTCTAAAAAAAAAGAGCCATGAAATCAGGGCCTATGGGATAAAGGGGCTTCTGAGACTCGATTAGATATGGAGGAAGTTTCAAACACGTGAGACACATGGAATAGTCAACTGGAGGAAACAGGAATAAAAAAAACGGTAAAGCACGGCCGGTGTGGTTCAGCGTTTGAGCATCGACCCAGGAACCAAGAGGTTGCCAGTTTGATTGGTTGCGGGCTCCATCCCTGGTGCAGGGCGTGCAAGAGGCAGCTAATCAATGATTCTTTCTAATCATTGATGTTTCTATCTCTCTATCCTTCTCCCTTCCTCTCTAAAAAAACCAGTAAAAATATATTTTTAAAAAACTGGTGAAAAATTACAAGAGAAATGCTTCAGATAAAGTGATAAAGATGTGAAGATGAATTCGAGTGGCTCAGGAGGTCAAACGCAGCGAGAAGGGGCAAAAGAGCCAACTGGGAAGGAACCCAGGGAACTTGAGGACATGTCTGTCTAGTCATTGCTGTGTGACCACTAGCTAACCAAGCAGAGACTTCAGTGGACACACATGATAAAGGACACAGACTTAATAGAAGCAAAAGTCGCTAAACAAATAATGGCAACAGCCGAAACCGGTTTGGCTCAGTGGATAGAGCGTCGGCCTGCGGACTCAAGGGTCCAGGGTTCGATTCCGGTCAAGGGCATGTACCTGGGTTGCGGGCACATCCCCAGTCGGAGATGTGCAGAAGGCAGCTGATCAACGTTTCTCTCTCATTGATGTTTCTAACTCTCTATCTCTCTCCCTTCCTCTCTGTGAAAAATCAATAAAATATATTTAAAAAAACAAATAATGGCAACAATCAGGGACAACAACCAGCCCTGAGGAGGGAGGGTGCAATCTGATTTTCAGAGCTGCCCTGTTATTTTATTAAAATGTCCAACTTTCAAAAACTACAAGACAGCCCGGCCGGCGTGGCTCAGAGGTTGAGCGTCGACCTCTGAACCAGGAAGTCACAGTTCGATTCCCGGTCAGGGTACATGCCCAGGTTGCGGGCTCGATCCCCAGTGTGGGGCGTGCAGGTGGCAGCCGATCCATGATTCTCTCTCATCATTGATGTTTCTCTCTCCCCCCCAACTCTGAAATCAATAAAAATATATTTAAAAAAACAAAAGACCTTCTGACTT